TACCTTGTTTTACAAAACATCTTCATTGTATTCATTGTAACCGCCGCTCCTCCCCCTCCTCCCCCCTCCCACCCCTCCTCCCCCCCCCCCCCCTCCCCCCTCCCCCCCTTTAACCCCCTCCTCCCCCCCTCCCCCTTCCACCCCCCTCCTCCCCCTTTCCACCCCCCTTACCAAATTGCAAAAGTAGACAAACAGGTCAACTAAGTTAATTTTTAGTAAACTATCCTGCACAGGCAACCTAGCCGAGAGAGGAGCTAAAGTTAACATCTACATAGTAACCGCCATTTCGCCCCCTCCCCCCCCCCCCCCCATGGTTGAAAAATTGTATTGAAGACAGCGTCCAAAGAATATCTATGTTCTCAATTATAAGACTGAGATTAAGTAAGTAGCTGATCATATCGATGCAATTTTTTCCTATACGCAGTCTCCATCATATTGTAACCTTTACAGACGTGTGTAAATAATTAAATTATGTTAAGTCGCGAAGTTAGTAATCTAACGCTATTTTCATAATTACTGGGTTGTATCAGTAAAAATGTAAAAATATAAAAGACAAATATATAACGCTAGCGTTTTAAGACATGGCAGCATTGCTATAAGTGTAAATAATGTTAATATTAAAGCTGTGATCGAACATTATAAACAACAGCAATAAAGAAGACAAATTTTAAAAAAAGTTACGCACGCTCTCTTTGATCACCTTATATTGACCGCTTTTACAGCAAGGAAAAGTGCGCTTTTCTGACAAACTATATATAGACAAACTTTAACTATATTTCGAGGGACATATTTTAAGGCTATCCTGAATGGTTGCCCATCGACGCGTTGTTATGCAGCTACAAATTCTAACCCTGATTTTTCAATAGCATAATAAATATACCTTCAAAATAATTGTGATAATTCTATAATTAAAAGTCAAAATGCGCACATTTTACCTGGGATAAATAGTGTTATAATGCTTAGCCATTGTTAATTCTTAACAAGATTGTGACAGATGTAGAACAAGAAATCTAAGCAGTTTTTGTCATATGGTTACATTTCCTGTTCCATACCTGTTGCAATCTATTCAAACCACATGTCTTCCTTGAGGAAAAAAAATCACCTTCAAGAAAAGCAAAAACATTCGGCCTCAGACCTCTACACCATTTCAACCTCTCAAACACGTCTTTTCCGGCTGCCAGAGCGTTCCTCGATTAAAATGTCAAAACAGATGTGTTTCAGTACAAATTTGCGTCTTCCTCAAAGGAAATATGTCGAGAGCTTACTTTGCAGTTGACTGGAAAAAAGAAAAAAGAAAATGTCATTCACCTGTGACAAACTGGTCATATCAATGATAAATGTACATGAATGGCGAGGATTTTCTTCAAGAGAAATATATTCTGGAAGTTAATCGGTTTTCGGAGTTTCAAAAATGGTTAAAACTATATTAAGATATATCACCTGGTAAGACTCAATTAAGGCCATATTTTGAGGTAATATCGCCACTTGTGACTCCTGATCGGTCTAGATAACGCTTAACGAAGGCGTCGAGTGGCGCCAGTTGATAATTTTATACTTAACGTGATCTTTCGTAAGTGCAGCCTAATATCTTGTAATCTTCTTTCAAACCTGTCGCGAGACACCAGCGAAGGAGACATCCAGGGCAGACGTGACTGGCAAATCCGTCATTCGTAAGAATGAAGCCTTATCTGGTGATTTATTTAACGCAATTCTTATCAGCCAATCAGGTGACTGTATATGGCTCATTTGACTAATAAATTAAAAAAGAAACTTTAAAATTACTAAAAAATCACACGCAGCCGGAAATTTGTGCTAATTACAAGTCAAACATTTCATTAAGTCTTCGCTGAACTCTCAACGTACATGAAATTCTACAGCAAAACTGATAAATGAAAATTAATTAAGAGTGCGAACGGTTTTATTTTATACGGATTGCATCAGCGGTTTGTTTTTTTACAATAACTTAAATTTTTTAACTACTGTTATCTGCTTCGTATCTCAATTCAAAGTCCATAAACCCTCTCTACAGCAGGAAAGAGAAAGTAAGACAGACGAGTGCAGAATACATACTATTTTTTCAGTCCAATCGCAATCTGAATTGTTTGAACCAAATCAGTTACGACATCCGCAGGTTTATCCGTCACTGTAAAATCAAAATAGTTTTTGAATATATGAAAATTGTAATTTCTTGACGCCATATGTTAGGTGCAGTTCTATGAAAGATATACAAAATACATCAAACTCATTACAGTAAACAAACACAGCATATGTGCAATAAAGAAATGACAATTTGTTTGAAGATGGGTATTATTTCAAATGATCAACCGCTGAGTATATTGGTTTCGGGAATTTTGCTGTTTTCGATTAACTCCCAAGCAACTTCGTATCATCCAGCACAGTGTACTTATGCCCAATATTCGAAGATGGCCATGAGAGTCTTAATCACGCGGAACGAACAATTTAAGTATGTTTTAACTAAAAGATAACAACTTTCAATTTAATAGTTGAGAACTGTGCATTCATCAAGAATAACTTAATTCAAATGTAGATGTCCAGACACATTGTAGACACCTTTACCAGAGAATACCTTTTTTATAACCGGTTTTTATTCGTAGAAAGTTCGACGTGTGATCCGAAGTTAGAGATCTATTTAATTACTTCCAGTTCCCAATTCTTTTTATTTTGGCTACGGTTTTAATAGCCTCAATTGATCCTTGTAATTACTGGGATGAGATACATTTGCTTTTTTAAAATTGAAAGGAAACAAAATGACTTTGCATTTCTCACATAAAAGGCATTTAAATAGCTGTCATTTGCAAATGTTTTGAATAGTAGATGAAGCATTGGTCCACAGTTACAATGAGAGAAGAGTACACTTATATATATATATATATATATATTTTTTTTAACAATACCATTAAATTTCCCAAGTTATTATTCTAACGTTACCGTGTGGAATTACTGGTGAAAGTGGTGAAAAATTGAGACAGGTGCAGAGATCCACATCTGATTGACTGAGTTGTAATGCTGATAAACGAAAGGCTGTAATCGCCTACGTTCGATAGATATATGGAAAACTTGCAACTGGCACACTTCATGAGTAAAATGATAAGAGGAGGCAAATGAATTGAATTATTTTCTTAGTTCCACCATTTCTGGCCAATGTGAACTTATAAAAAGAAAAGCAACACTACGCAAGCCAAATCATGAGAGAAAACTCTTTGTTCCCGATTCTTATTCATTAAACCGTTTTTCTCGGGAGGAATCCCAGTTCGCCTCGACTTCATGCTCTCGATCCAGTATCCTGGTCTTCGTCCAAGCATATTACACATGCGCGATTACAAAATGATGATGTGTCTATTAGTTTCTAGTCTTTAGGACGTGAGGCAACCAGGCCTCGTGTTCAAGGTCAATCTCAGGATCCGAACTTCTATCTGTATGAAGCTCCTTACGCGGGATTATTTCGAGCTTACAACTATTGGAGTCCTCTTCTGTTTGCGCAGATGTGAGTACAATATTAATATGTGTTGTAGTTCTGATGGAAATGTCAGTTGTTGACAGAAGAAAATAATATCATCGCAATGATGATAGAAAGAAAGGAGTTTGGTAAATGATGGAGGAAATTGATTGGTATTAAAAACAGTGAGATTCCACCTCAATACTCGACGAGAAAAACACGCAGTGACGTAGCTCCTTTTAAGAGATCACATGACCCTCAAGGTGATCACGTGGTCCATGCTCACTTTGTAAGTGTGATTATCGTTATTGAATCGGTTAATGAAAAGCTAGTAATTTCTTTCTTTCTTTCCTCTTTCGTTCATGTAAATGATAATGTTTGCCTTTGCATCACTTTAATTGCGTTGAGTGTTTTTTGTGTCAATCCTTCCTTTCATTTTTAGGCTGAGGATTTCACGGCAAAAATCGTATGATCCTTGATCCTCTTAAAAAGATTCTGCCTAATTATTCAGAAATTTGTTTTGAAAAAAAAAAGCCTTGTTTAGTTGGTCTTAAGAAAATCCTTTACGACACAACAGGATAAGCAAAAAAAATTTTTTCTTATCCTCTTCAGCTTCCAATGCTGGTCTGATTACCACTTCCCCCTTTCAGCTGCTTTCAAAAGATTTTTTAATGAATTATTTGAGATTATTTCGTGTCAAATCATGCAAAACGAAAACTTCTAACATATGCGCTTTTTGTTCCCATTACCTCATGGCTAAACATCATACTGATATCGTAAGGGGAAGTTACGTGTAAATTACTTCGTGACTCATAAGGTTGATCGACTCGCAGAGAACTGAAGCCAGACAATAATGCGATGAGAGGCAGATTTTGAATTTAAAATTATAATGGAAGCGCTTGGCTATTGTTTCTTTTCTTTATTTTACATTGCAAAAGGTAAGATTTTTTTTCTAAGCAATTACCGAAGTGATCAATATCTTGAAATTTATTGGAATTTTATTACAATATTGTCGAATATGCGAGAAATAACCGGGCAAAAACAAAATTGTGACAGCGAAAAACTTGACATTATTTGCGTCTTTTCAAGAAATGAGTGACAAGTCGGATTGTCAAAAGAGAAACTGTTTTCAAAGTATTGAATTAACAACTAATACTGAGTAAATTAAAAATAAGCAATTTTCCAACTCAGTTTGTTTAAGCCTCTCCAATAGTCGTCATTAAACAAAAACCTTACTTAAGAAATATCCGATAGGCTGCCACAGTGTTCTATAATTACCATTAAAATATAAAATTTGTCGTTAAGGTGAAGTACATACTGATTAAAAAGAAAAAAAAATGGATGAAAAGTTTACCTATTTCGGTGATAAGTTACTTTAGATCTTTTTTTCGCGTCCTGCCCTTCAATGAAATTAGGCAGCTGGCCGGAAGAAAATATAACACGTCCTGAAATCCAAGAAACTGCAGCGGGCCCCATGTTAAGTAAATGTAAACGTAGAGAAAGGAAGCCTGCTTGAAAACGACCACCTATTTACCGGCAACAAATGACGAATTTCACTACAATCTGCCAGAACTTCGAAGAACAGTACAACATCATCGCCAAAAGCTCAGGCGCCGTATACTTCATCATTTTTGTGGTAAACATTGTTATGTCCGTCACCGCAATTTTAGGCAACAGCTTTATAATAGGTGCTCTTCGTAAATGCAGCTCACTGCACTCGCCTTCTAAAGCGTTAATCTTCAGCTTGGCATTCTCTGATCTCGCAGTCGGCTGCATAGCACAGCCCTTGTTTATAATTCACAGATCGGCCGCCTTAACACGTAGCTACCGCCTTTTTTGTATCTCTGGAATGATGTCGAACTTTGTGGGAAGTACCGTCGTAAGCGCTTCATTTGTAACGTCCACCGCCATCGCGGTGGATCGTTACCTCGCTCTACGTTTACGCCTCCGCTACCGCGAAGTGGTTACGCTCAAGCGTGTCATCATCGTTCTTTTTGCAAGCTGGTCAGCGTCGCTGATCTGGTCTGCGCTTTGGTTCTGGGACCAGAACGTGCAAAATTATTCACGAGCTGTGTTGTTTTGTCTTTGTTTTGCAACAACAACCTCTTCGTACGTTATCATCTACAAAAAAATTCTACGATACAGATGTCGCGTTGCGGAACGATTCGGCAACGCGGTGGTTGGGAACTTTTCCGGACGTCGTACATTCAACGTGGTACGTTTTCGTCGATCCGTAAGCAGCATGTGTCACATCTATTGTTGTCTTTTGGTTTGCTATTTGCCTTATAACTGTCTTATGGCTGTAATCCGCAATGCAGTGCAGTTGACATCTTTGACCGTAGCTCTTCACGTCGCTTTTGCCACCCTTGTCTTGTCAAATTCTGCTTTGAATCCATTCGTGTTTTGTTGGTGCATACCGGAAATTCGCCTCATCGTCAAATCGACAATCTGCAGATTTCAACACTGATAATAAGCAGTTGCTAATTTCACTCAAATTTCTGAAATTTATCCATGTAGATAGTTCTACTACGAAATGTTAAGGTACAGAGAACAATCTGCGATTAGCAGTGTGATACACTATTTGATGTCAAACCCGTCTAAACGTAAGTTTCTGACCTTTGAATCCCACAAGAGATTTAACTGTAACTTCCCCTTTCAACATAAATGCATTATTACGCCAACAACTCATAAGATTTGAAAAAATTATCATCCAGACGGTGTCATTTTGATTGTGCTTCAGATTTTCAACATAAATCAAAGGGAGAATAACTTAACACATCTTGGATGGGGGAAGGGTACCTTACATTGAGAAAACTTTTGTTTGTAGGGAGAAAAGTGTGTAAGCCTGGGGAGACCGACTTTTAAGATCTGTGGTTAGTATTGGTCAAATGGGTAAAGATGTTTGGGATTGAAATCAAATATGTGGTGCTTTCTTCTAAGGGTAATCTGGAACTTCTAACATCCTTAGTTCAAATTTTTTATCTCTTCTTAACTTTTGAGACGTTTTTCTCTGATACTCGAAGCGGCTGGCCGTAAAACATGTTGCGTTGTCGCATTATCTGTATTTTACGCTATTCGTTATTTCCAACGAATTCTAATCGTTTGAGTCATGCAATGTTTCCTGGCAAAATTCTTAACATTCTTTTTCGCATCAGCGCACTTTCCTGACTACAGAATTCTATTTTTTTCTCAGCTTTTCACGTGCAAATTTCTTAATTACTGGCTGGCTGAGCGTGCAAACAAAATCCTCACCATTTTTTTGACTCATTGGCCAATTATTAGTTTGAGCTGTTAATCCATATTCATATAGAAAAAAAAAGAATTTTCAGCAAACCACGATGTCTACCGGAGAGTGAAGACGTAGTGTCCTCAACACTGAAGATAAAATTGCAACCTGGAAGGAAGAAGACACCTGACTTGTAAAGAAGAGAAACGGAAAGAAGTCTAATGTTTCTATAACAGAAGGTGAGCAGTCCTCAGGAATACATTGCGTTGAACCCCTTTCTGAAAGCCGAGCGAATCGAAATTTCTTTGTTAAACGAGTAGAAATGTGATAGCTCCTTGGTCCGAGAGACTCTTTAACTCTGTATCCGATTGAATAAAGATGTTTACCTGGGCAGAAGCAGACCCTCTGGTTATGGCTATCAGCTGGTCGTATACAAAAGATAAGGATGGAATTCATGTTCAATTTTGGGAAAGTCTTTCTGTAACTTCGCGCGGCCACGTGGATTTTCAAGACTTGGCCGCCAAATCCCTTTCGTCAGAAGTTATAAAAACATCCCAACATACAAAGAAATAAGACAAAATATGTATTTCAACGTTTCTAGATAATATTTTCAGTTGCGTAGTGTTCAATAATCTCCTTTTAAATTTAAAACAGTAAGAAGTCTCTAATTACATTGATAATTCATATTTTCAGGTCGAAGAATGTTGCCAAAGGGATGGAAGAATGAAGAATCTTGTCATGAGAAGACAAAGGAATGGCTAAATATCAAGACTGTACTGCAAAGATAAGCACTCTAAACTTATTTAGTAACGGTAAATGGTGGCTCTCACCCCATTCACACCAAAGCTTAAACATGTTTTAAAGCTGTTTTGTTAAACACGGTTGAAAATTTATTTCTTCATAGAGATAATAATTTAATGACTACTTAAAACTTATCTAAAATTCAGTTCACTATTTCTATGCTTTTCATTTAGTTAAACCCGGTTTGACTAAACATGTTTGATTGGTGTGAATGGGTTATAAATAGTTTATTTTGTAAATAGTGTCATTAACTCATCGAATCCTGAAAATTGATCCAATTTCTCAATGGTACGTAATCAGTTTATATCGAGTCACCATTTTTGGATTAACTTGCAGTGGTACCGATTGTTCAGCAGACCTTGAGCGATCGAAGGATTGTCTTCACTTATTTCCTGAACTGCCTCGAATTTAACGTAGTTCATCTCTGAAAAATTATTTACATCGCATCAGAAAATCAGCGATTGAACATTGATCTTGGTATAAGCTAAATACAGAAAACTTTAGCAAAAATTTAGTTTCTGTGGACAAATCGCTCTTCTGGTTTGCTTTACAGTTAGTATCACAATCGTATTGCAGTTGATGTCACAAAAAAGTTGATATTTGTTAAGGTGGCGCTGTAGTAGAAAACCTCGGTCAAAAATCAAATGAAATCTTACTTTTCATAGAAGTAATCTTGCGGCTTTACCTTAAACCTTCGCTACACTCTTGACCGGGACTATACTCAATGTTTAACTTACAGCTCTAATTGTTTACAACGACTGATTTTGATTCTCTCAAAAGATGTCGCCTCAAAAAACTTCTCCACAGTACCAAAGCGACCAAAAAACTGAAAAGAAATTTACCTACGGTCCGAAGTTGGCTGATGACAACTTGACTAACACTGCTCGAGCCAATAACATTGAGTAAAACTGACGAAAAAGTTTTTTTCTTGCGTCATGTTGACTAACAGTCGGGCTGAGGAAATATCGGTGACTGTCCTTGACACAAGACCTCCTCCAACATGACTGCCCTACTATGACCTACTATTTTCATTAAAAGAAAAAAATTCGATCAGTTTCAGTTTCTCTACTATGATACAGAATACAAGAACAATTTGACGAAAAATTTACCAAATGATATTTTGGTCTCTACGTGATTTGAATTGACGTGTCGACTTTGTTTAACGAAGAGGTATTTGTTGGTAAAAGAAATGCAGTAGAGTGCCATCTTAAAACTTGTATTCAGAGTTTTGTGACATTAACTGAGGTGGTTTCAGGCAGCCAGAGAACAGTGGCTTAGAAGCTACGACCAGCTTTCAAAATTATTCAGTTTGGGGTACACTGTTTAGGATTATTCTTTTAAAGTTTTTTTATTTGATTTTATGATATTTGCACCAATGTTCTCTTGCTGTATTGAAAGCTATTTCCTTAAAACCGTAATGCCTGGTCAAGAGTACTTCAAAAATCTCGACTCGGATAAAATCTGTTTCATAAACCAGCTTCAGCAAATCATGAAACAATATCGGTTTCCTTCTTTGGAGGTGATTCGATCTGGTGACAATTTTCCTGAATTTCAGAAAAAAAAATAGCGTTAAGTTGACAGACAACAAAAATGAACATTGTCAAACGTCATTCGTTAGTATTTATATGTATCGAGGAAATTTCATTCGACAGGAATAACGATCTAAATTTCTCGACACATCGTGGAAATTTGCTATAAATTTGGACGAAATATAGATCATGTATACTAAGTTATCAGTGACGAAGATCATCGCAAGGAGTTGCTCTTTACTGCGAATCACAATCGTCGTTTTTGCACACAATAATAATAATAAGACGTTTCGCGAAGTTCTCGAAATGTTTTTGTTTTTGGTTAAAAATTTATTCCGACATGCAATACAAGTTGAACCAATTATATCAGCATATGCAAACGCAGTAAAAATTTTTCATAGACGACTTGTTTTAGAAACAAAAATGATTTGAACTTTTCTTATCACAATTTCAAATGCATATTACTTGGTTCAAAACAAAATGCAATCAAATGAATTTGTTTTCTTTTTTTTCAAAATAGTTACGTCTAAATTAAAACATGCATTTCTAGTCTATTTGCTGCTTTATGAAGCCCTCATAATTCGAACTTTCAAAGTATTTGGCAAAACTCTGTTATGGTTTAGTTCGGGCTCCACGCAACATATCCCTAGTCACTTCACTCTATCCACCAGGCATTTGGTTTTGAAATGTATTGCAGTATAGTTTAGAGGAAGGAATACTTTGTGCAGTAATTCGATGTAACACAGGAACAAAAAACAAAAAATCAAAAGCTTTTTTCCAAACTCAGTTGTTGATTTTGACTCTCGATTGCCGAACTTTTCATAATGCCACAATTGATAGTGCTACATTTTTTAAATTAAAGACACGGAATTTAATTGATCAATGTATCCGTTTTTTCGGGAAGATAAAAATTTTCCTGAGAAGTCCAGGATAATCTGAAGACTTTTCTTTCTTAAATAACCAAAACGTTGTCTTTATTCAACTAAACTAAATTTCAAATAATATGCACCAATGGTTATTTTATTTCTTTTAACGGCCTCCAAAACAAATTTTCAAATCTCGAGTATGCCTTAGGTTCATATATCGTTTTTTTCTATTTCATATTTACAAAGTAAAAAGCAAAAAGCAGAGTCACTCTTGTGGCTAAAACCAAACCCTAATTCTCTTTGCAAATTGCTTCCTGTTTTTATTCCTGTGTTACACACGAAAAATGGTCGCTGAAGAAAATTTTCATCCTGAATTGAAACTGTATCATGGCAAATTGTAGGATACGTTTACTGAGCTGATTATGAAAAAAAACTTTCGAAAAAACTGATTTAATTTCGACTATAATTGTGATTAAACTGCCTCAGTAAAGTTTGCCATGATGCCTTTTCGTTTAAAATAATTTTACGTGCTAGAGGCTGTCGCCAAAAATATTCTGGGAAAGATGGTGGTAGTCGATCCAAAAGGTTTAGGCTGATGGTGAGTGGTGGGCGATCAGATTTAATCTTTTAGCATGGCATGCTTAACAAATAGTTTTTTGCGAGAGATTTTTTAGATAGCCTTGTTAAAATTTTTGCCGTAAAAGTCGCTAGGGGAAACTCTGTGCAAATTGCTCCGAATTTTCCCGCCAAAAGTCTTAGTGTATATATACGAAAAATTTCTCTGAACATTTTTTATTGATTTAATCGAAAATTACCTTACTAATTAACTTGAGAATTTGAGACAAATAAAATGATTTGTTAAGATAAACATGCTTGTGGTTTAATATGTAGTTGAATGGGGCAATAGTTAGAACACAAGAAAACTATAATTTATTGACTTGTTTGTTAATAATGATGATAATACAAAAATGCATCGAGTGTAAAATATTGGGAAAACAAAATTGGCGCATGCGTATTTTGGGCGCCAATTTTGGCGGCGGGGAAA